CCTTCTCCGAGCTTTCCTCCTTGACCACACGCTTATCCAGCGGGGAACGACCGGTTTTGGACCCTGAGTAGGCTGTCAAAGCTCCTGAGGATGTAATGGCTGTGCCGGTTTCGTAGACCAGGGCATCTTCATAGAGAGCCGAAACTGATGGGTTGGCAACAATGGCAACCCGGTCGTAGTCAATGTGAGCAGTTGTGTGGAGCTCTTCTTCGAGTTCGGTGTGCTCGCGGGTTGGCCTGAAGTTGAAGTGAGTTGATTGTGATCTCATGGATTTGGGCATCAAGAGGAGGGAAACTTACTCGACACCACCAGGGTGGAGAGCGGTCTTGTTGACAGAGTGAGAGACCATTCTGGAGGAGAAAGCTCGAAGCTGGACTTTGGCTAATGCTGAACGTGCTGTTCCAGTTGCTGGAGAGGGCGACTGAGGCCTGATCTGGTGAACAGCTTGGAGACGAGTAGAGTAGTCGGCAGCCATGACTTGGGGATCGACCTGATATTGTATCTTTCTGACGATGGGGCCAAGCCGAAACGATGTGCTATTCCCGATGAACTCACGGGAGAGATCGGAGGACGACGATGTGGTTTTGCGTAGAGACTCAATCCGACTCTGCCCGACCCGTGCTGATTGGAAGAGGCCAAATGCCGTCGATATGCCGTGTACTACTAATTGGAGATCAGTGCCACAGGTGCGGAGCATGCGATAATGGGATGCAAATACCCTTCTTATTATCGTGTTGGGTCGAGTTTTCGAGAAGAGATTGAAAGAAAGAGGGCGACGGGAGGGTGACGGAAGACAAGCTGCAATTGAGGTGGAGGCGAGAGCTGAGTCTAGGCTTAGTCTTCCTCTCACTTTGCCTCTTCTTGCGTTTCTGCTCTCGTGATGTTCCTTTGACCCCCGCCAATGTCGCCCCCTGCGAAACTGCTGTTGAATGGCTGCGTGCCTCGCTCTTTTTCTCCCTGGAAGTTCGGGAGGGGTACTACCGCCTGCGTCAACCTCCTTGTTTCTTTGTCGCTACGCCAATCGAATCTGCGTTTCCGGTGCGAACCGTCCAATGACAGCCTTTCCAAATAGAGAAGGGAGGAAAAAGAGATGATGAGAGCATACATACGTCAAAATGGACGCGTATTTTAAGTGTTTCGGTCGATAGTCTTGATGACAATTGTAGATCAGAGCAAACGAGTGTCGCAGTTTGTCGAGCTATGACCTGAAGGAGAGCAGGCACAAACACTTGGACTCGAGCAGATCATGATCAAACCGTTCCTCTTGGACGACAAAACAGTAATGACAGGGAAACGACTACATCCTTGCAGCATTGACTATGACCAAACTCTTCAACCGCAAACTCGATCGATACCTTTATTGGGACTCAATCTCCACTTGCAAACCCCCAATCCATCCGTCCGAAAGCTGCCAAATCATCCCCCATATTCCTGCGGATTTACTCAGAATTCGCGCGGTAGTTAGATTGGATGCCGTGCAAGGAGTTGCTTAGTCTTCACGTCATAAGACCTCAAGCAGTCTTCTGCCATGCTCCATATATGCCGAGCAAACTGCTGGTCACACCCGCCAAACCAACAATACCGTCATCAAGATTGGTGTAGCCGAGGATTGTGCTCGGTACCGTAAGGTCACAGAGGTCGGAGATCAGCTGGATATTGACGCTTTGTTGTTGTCTGAGTGTTGAAGTCAGTTTTAAGGGTACACACCACGAAGCAGTACATGAGTGAAGAAGAATCGTCTATGACATACCTGGCAATCTTGACCTTCTCCAACTTGGCTTCGGCGTCCTTCTCATCGACAGCCCTGGCACGCTCTCTCAATTTATAGGTGTTGTATACACCGGCAAGGGCGCTGGCGATCAGGCCTGTGAGCCAGAACTTGTACGCCGTGATCTGGATGCTCTTCGCGCGAGCATCTTTTTTGACCCCCATTGCATCCAACAACGTCGTCATATCAAAGAACAGGTAGCCTCCGTACCCAATCTGTCTCAGGACCTGAAGGTATTGCACAATCTTGTCCCCATTGCCCGACTTGACCGCCGCATCGTATAGTTCAGAAGCGGCCCGTATGTGTTCGACAAATTTTCCAGCGCGCAGGATTTTCCTCGTCAGTCCGAATTGGTTCTTGAGCGTGGTCCATGGTTGGATGGCGCTGGTCGGGTTGTTGGTACGATACAAGTACCAAGCGTAGAATCTGCTGAAATACTGGATCGTTCGGAGAACTTTATCACGGCCGACTGTGAAGTAGTTGGGTTAGTTGACACACTCGGCGGAACCCGCATTGGACCGACTCACCTGTCGTCGCGACAAATCGGAGGTAATGAGTCACCGCAGGGTGATAGACAAGGGCGTCTGCAACCATGATGGTGGTGACCCTTGTGATGTCTTTTAGGCCTTGTCGCAGATGAGAAGGACAAAGATGGAGGAGCGTTCAGATTCCACCTGGGATGAAAATGATGGTCTTAAGGGCGCGACTCCGGGTAGCAGGGAATGTCAGCCGCCGGACAGCGCTGCCTCGGCTGTTCGGACAATATCAGCCTACGATCGTCTCATGCTTGTTACTTTGTTGCTTGTGCGCATGCTGGTACTCGCGCTCATAAACACCACTGCATTCTTCTTGCAATTATTACACAATATCTCACCTACCTCGTTGTTATTAGCAGCAATCAACGCAACAGTTATTTCTCGTCCGTTCACACATGGCACGAAAATTAGCTGTCCACAATCTCTGTCCGTCTGCCTAGAGCACTGCAGTCAATCCTCGAACGCCCAGTTCTTGCTCGTGTCCTTCCTCTGTGACTGGCCTGCACAGGCTCGTATCTCCAATCGGTGATCTTGTCGAAATTGCAAGGTCACTCATTGCCGAACCCTCGCACAAGTTCCAGCAGGTATTCATGTTCTTGTACAGGCCTCCTCGCCAAGCGGAAATGGAAGAAACAGTGAGGTGAGATCCGACCTGTAATAGGACGCTCAGAATCCAGAGACCGCATTCGCGGATGTCCTCGATAGCGAAACGGCATGCCGTTCCCATCCCGGATTGGTGCTTCTTGGTCACTTTCGACAACTTCTTGAGCAGGACAGCGATGGGCGTGCTCAAGTCCACCAACAATAATACCCTCCAGGTAACATCATGATCTGTTCCTCAGTTGCTGTGGTGGGACCTAAGCCACCCAAACCATCCGGGAGCGACTGGCTGAGGAACTCCTCGATCAACAACTCATTGATGTCATCCCCTGGCTACTGTGATTGATATTAGGGGAATTTCGCTCATCACTTTGTTCCCCAAGGATTGAGAAAGGTACCGTTGTTGATCATCTAACAGGACGTGCTGAAACTAGCACCGGATTTCATTTTCTCTTTCGGCCGCATCCCGGTCTTTTACGAACCTGCTTAGTTACTTGAGTTCAAGATCCGATCTTCGGGATTGTTGATCTAAAGCTGGTCCGAGATAACCACGGTGGTAGCTAGGTGCAGATGTGGCAGCTTCTTACCACCGAGGCGTCTTCAGCACGACTTGTCGAGTATCTCGGAGAGCACAAAGCGTCATGCAGTCCAATGTCATGACAGCAAATCAGGTAAGTCTGCTATAACAAGCAGAGTTCTTTCCAATTTCTCCTCGTTGTTGGACGTTGGGAATTGGTAATAGTGGATTGAACGGTGTGGTCTCTATCTAGTTATGACTCTCCGAGACAATCAACCACCTCATTCATGATGTACCCTGAGAATTGCTGTCGACATGCTGCCTGCAGCAGTTGATCTCTTGTCTATGCACGCCTTGGATGGAGCATCTGACCCGACTTCACTCCCACTCCATGTCGCATCTGGAACCGTCACACCCTGCATCAGGGAAAGATAGGTTGTCAATTCCACCTGCATCTCACAAGTAGAAACCATGGACTGCACCGGAGAACAACAAAACCCAAGCGTCCTGCATGTGCAATAGATATGCTCGATGACATTATATTGCGGAAAGTCGAGACTAAGAAACGCCGAGACCACATCATGGGGAATTCTTGAAAAAGCCACGGAGCTTAAACACAACTCTGGGCGACATTTGACCAACCAAGTAGAGCGTGTTCGTGATGATGCCCGCGAGGAACTTGCTAAGATCAATTCGAATTTTGGATAATACGAGACTAGGGTCGAAGAGCAAGAGCAGATATCGGAGTTGTTGTACGAAGTGTTGAAAAGTGTGGGAATGGGACTGACACTTGCCCAACGTCGAAATTTTCCAGAAGTTGAGCCTGCTCACATAGATCTAGCGTCGAAGCACGCACAGTTTCACAGTCTCGAAGCCAAGATTTTGAATCACGTCCGATTCGAAACTAAGTTGTGTCTCGACCTCGTCCTTGGTGATCGATGAATTCCGTCGGGTGGCAGAGGAAGAGCAGGGTGAAACCAGGGCTGCGAATTACGATAAGCGCCATGGACGGCGGATAATCCCGATCATCCACATGCATATCGAATAATCAGCAACAACTTTTGCTATCTGCTAGCGAGCGACCCAAGAGTGGACGTCGAACTCGTACGAAGCGATAATTATTTGGCCGTTGAGGGGATGCAAGTCGAAGTATTCCGTAAACGGCAATGGCCCGCATCATCAAGCCGAGGTTCCGATGAAATTCCGGGACAATTCCGCCGGTTTTGCGGAGGTGGAGCAATGTCGACATGGGAAATTTTGGCCAACATAGCTCTGAAATGTCCCTTCTTCAGAATCTGCTAGGTGATGAGCTCATGGTCTTTAGAGGTCGTTGCTATCCTTTGTTTTTTGGCAAGGTCAGTCGCTGTGGAAAGCGACTAGAAGACGCGTATCGTGTCGGACCAGGAAGGAAATCTTACGTCAGTGGGTTGTTATAGCACGAGGGGGTTGGAGGTCACAGGTTCATCACGATTGACTAAAGGTTGGGGACATCGTCCAGCTCCCGCTTCCACTCCTGCATACGTGATCGATACGGAAGTCATACTCGAAGAAGACCACAGGGGAAAAGAGAGTCACCACCATGCCCACCAAATCATCTTATCCGGACATTGAGATCCCCAATGTCGACCTTTGGGGTCTGATGTTCGAGCAACCCCGGGATTTCCCCGATTCCCAAGGTTCGTCGAAGAAAGCACCCTTGAACTCTGTGAAAGTGAGGACTTCTCTGTTAACCCCAAATCATGAAACGTAGTCATTTACCGTTCTGTGGACTCATCGCGGCACTACACGTGGGCCGATGTGAAGGAAGCTGCCACGGCATTTGGGGGTGGTCTCCGTAACCTCTGGGACTGGGGGAAAGGCGACGTGCTGAACATCTTCGCGCCAAACGACGTCGACTTTGCACCGATCGTTTATGGCGTCTTCTTCGCTGGTGGCATCGTGTCACCCGCGAATCCCGCGTATTCAGCCGATGAGCTGACTTTCCAGTTATCCAATTCTGGGTCGAAGGCGATTGTGACGACGACTGATTTCTTGGAGACGGCTCTGAAAGCGGCCAAGATGTCCAACATCCCCGAGGACCGCGTGATATTGTTGGGCAGCAAACGAGATCCGTCTCACAGAGTCAAGCACTGGACCAACATCCGCAAGACGTCGGGCGCGACTCGCTATAGACGACGCAAGATGGACCCGGACAACGAGCTCGCTTTTCTCGTGTACAGCTCAGGGACGACTGGTCTCCCCAAAGGCGTCATGCTGAGTCACCGCAACATCATCGCCGACGTCCTGATGATTAAAGGAGCCATGGGCAAGTGGTACTCGAGTGGTAAGGACAAGATTCTGGGGGTCTTACCATTCTACCACATTTACGGCCTCACGGGGCTCATTCATCAACCTTTGCATCGCGGTATTGAGCTCGTGGTGATGCCCGCGTTCAATCTCGAGGTTTTCCTGAAGGCGATTCAGGAGCACAGGATCACCTTCATTTATGTAGCACCCCCAGTGATCGTGCGACTGTCTCGGGACAAGATTGTCGACGAGTACGATCTGAGCAGTGTCAGGATGATCACCAGCGGCGCGGCTCCGTTGACTCGAGAGCTAGTTGATGCAGTCCACAAAAGGCTGAAGATCAAGATCAACCAAGCCTATGGATTGAGCGAGACCTCTCCCATGACGCACACCCAGGTAAGTACTCACCAACTTACCCTGTCGAGGGTCGGCAAGTTTGTCACTTTTCTCCGCTAACACAATGCTGCTAGCCCTGGGATGAATGGTACTCGTCCGTGGGAAGTGTTGGGAAGATGTTTCCAAGTATGACAGCCAAGTATATGTCACCCGACGGTAAAGAACTGGGGGCGGGAGAGGCAGGAGAACTGTGGCTATCCGGACCGAACGTTTTCAAGGGGTATTGGAAAAACGACGCCGCAACTAAAGACGCCATCACGGAGGACGGCTACTTCAAGACCGGTGACGTGGGTTACCAGGACAAAGACCACAATTTCTACATCACGGATCGAGTCAAGGAGCTCATCAAGTACAAGGGGTTCCAGGTGCCCCCAGCAGAGCTCGAGGGGAAGCTGATGGATCACCCTGGGATCAACGACGTGGCTGTAATCGGGGTGTACGACGAATTCCAACACACTGAAGTGCCAAGGGCCTACGTGGTAGCCAGTGATCGCAGCAGGACCAGTGAAAAGGACGCAGAAGAGATCGTGCAATGGCTGGCTAAGAAAGTGGCCAATCACAAGAGGCTGCGAGGCGGCGTGAGATTCATAGACGAGATACCAAAGAGCGCTGCGGGTAAGATCCTCCGGAGATTGCTGAAGGAGAAGGCCAAGGAAGAGGACGCCGGGGGCAAGGTGAAGGCGAAGCTATAGAGATGGTGGGAGGACCGGCGGTGTTCTGGAACAGTCGATGGGGGTTGGAAACGTGTCGAATTTGTGTCTCTCTCCCTCTCCTTTCTTTGACTATACGGGGAAAGAGTTCTTCGATGTACATACTGGGCGTAATAGGAGTGGCCGGCACCGAGTGTTCTGTGCATACAAGGGAGGGATGTAGTTGATGCGCATGATGGCCAAGGCGACGACAAGTGACAAGCTTTTTCGCGACAGCATCTGATTCGGGGAGCCTGTGCCGATTAAGCCTCTGTGCAGCCGGCTGGGCATAAATTTTCTTTGGATGATGGAGAAGAAAAGGTTCACTTCTGTGTCACACCAACATCTGCGGCGCACCTAGGACCCTTGCACCTACCCGGGTGGCACCCAAGAATGGAGTTGGGGACACAAAAGTTGTTCCGTTCCGCAGCCAATACATTCGACAGAGCATATGCACGTGTCGTCGTTGTCAGACGAAAGACGGCGAACCTCCACGGCTGCGCGGGCGAAGAGTCCTGAGTGGGAAAGGGTTCTCCGTGCCTCTGCACAGATAGTGAGCAAAGGAGCGGGTGAGCCATGCCAAAAAATTACTGAAGACGGCCACTTTCCTGAGAGGCAAGGGCGTTGGCACTAGTCGATCATGCAGGACTTCACGCAGCGGCGATCCCGAATCTTTCACCCGGACCGAGGGATTAGTCGATAGTCGATGCTCGATGTTACCGTTGGAGGTTCGATGGTGGGATATCCAGCCACTTACACGGCCCAGCAATCATGACCTCGGGTTTCACATTGGGTAAGGTGTCGAGTGCCACCTTTTTTTGGCTGGCTTTGATCTCAATCCTTCGTCACGGGGCCCAAGCCGTATTGAGACATGATTTTTTAGGCGGGGTTTGGCACTTGGCAGGGGCCTTTATCGGTGAGCCATACGAGGTACAGGCTAGGAAATACCTAAACTACCCGTGCCACCTAGCAGTGTAACTGCAGTACGAGGACCTACGTAAGTACCTAGGCACTAACTTTTTAGGTATTGATAGGTATTTCTTGGGGGTCCTTACCTATTGCGCCTACCTAGCTGAGTATCTAGCTGCAAATGGCACCTTCGTCTCTGGCTAGCCACATATCTTAGCGACTGCTACCCACACTTGTACCACATCACCCTCTTCCCGGTGCCTCTGTCTCGACTCTGACGTCTTCATCCACTTCCCCTCTGGTGTATCCTTCAATCAATCTGGCTCCTTGCTAGTCACCTTGTATCTCGCACCCCCACTCCATTCTGCCAACATGCCTGTTCATCAGCATGTAGTTTCTTCTTTGGGCTTCGCCCCCCGATCTTTCGATGCACGTTTACATACCACCAACACATGGCTGATCGGCATCGACCAAGATCATCCTGGGAAAAAGTTATATATTCGCCCTCAGTCTGTCCCACAGTCTGTCCGACCCTTTTCCCAGAGCCAGCACACAAAGCCAAATCACGCCCTCTCCTTTGAAAATGGATACTCCTCCTGAAAAGAAGATCTTCGACGAAACAGTCAGTCCTGAAGCTGTTCGCTCATACTCGATCCATGAAGCTCCGCTTGACGCCACCCCCAAGTCGAGATGGGAACGCACATGGCCTGTCATGGCCTGCGGTGCAGGATTGTTCTCTGACGGTTATCTCAATGGCGTATGTGCCACATCATTTGCACATCAACGTGGACATGACTGACAGCGGGGTTTTAGGTCATCGGTTCGGTTAACACCATGCTCAAGACAATCTACAAGGACGAGTACACCAAATCCGACGCCCAGAATAATGTTGCCTCGATCGCCTTCGCTGGCACCGTTGTTGGCCAGCTGGTCTTTGGTTACCTATCCGACCACTGGTCTCGCAGACACTCACTCCTCATTTCCACCATCATCCTGATCGTCTTTGCTGCACTGGGTGCAGGCTCCTACGGCGCAGGTGGCAGCATTCAAGGTCTCTTTGCCGCATTGGCTGCTTATCGTTTCCTTCTTGGTATTGGCATTGGAGGGGAGTACCCTGCCGGGTCAGTTGCGTGTGCGGAGAGCACCGGTGAACTCAAGAACGGCCACCGGAACCGATGGTTTATTTGCTTCACAAATCTAGCCATTGATGTTGGTTTTGTCGTCGCAGCCCTCGTCCCCATGATCTTGGCCCTGATCTTCACCGACCAACATCTCCGTGCTGCGTGGCGTATCGCGCTGGGCTTGGGCGTCATTCCTCCCTTGTCACTTCTCTGGCTGCGAATCAAACTGCAAGAACCCGAAGAATACAACCGCAACAAGATGAACCACTATCCATACTGGCTGATTTTGAAGTTCTACTGGTGGCGCCTGATCCTCGTCTCGCTGATCTGGTTCGTCTATGACTTCTCTGCCTACTCCTTCAGCATCTACTCTTCCGCATGGCTGGCCTTTTTGCTCCCTGCCGATGCGCCCCTCTGGAAATCCTTCGGTTGGAACACCGTCATCAATCTGTTCTACGTTCCCGGTGCCATCATCGGCGCCTTCCTTTCTGACTGGATCGGCCCCAAGTACTGCCTTGTCACTGGTGTGATGCTGCAGGGTATCGTCGGCTTCATCATGACCGCCATCTACAAGCACCTCGACCAACCCTCCCAGGTTGGCGGCTTCGTCGTCATGTACGGCATCTTCCTGGCACTGGGCGAGATTGGTCCCGGCGACAACATCGGCCTGGTCGCCTCCAAGACCTCGGCGACCTCGGTGCGTGGTATGTACTATGGAATCGCCGCCGCGTGCGGCAAAATCGGCGCCTTTGTTGGCAATTACATCTTCCCGGACATCATCAAGGCCGCGGGCGACGACGTCATCAAGCAGGGGCAATACCCCTTCTACGTGTCTAGCGCCCTGTGCATCTTTTCGGGTCTTATCGCCCTGATCTTCCTGCCCAACATCGGCCAGGACACGATCACCAAGGAGGACGAGCGCTTCCGGGACTACCTGATCAGCAAGGGCTATGATGTCTCCACCCTCGGCACCAAGAAGTACCACGAAGAGAAGGCTGTGGCTGTTGAAAGGCCACGAGAGCTGTAAAGCAAACTCCAAGTTTTTTCCATTGAGTTTTTGTTGGCGACTAGGCGGTATCAGGATCGTAAGGTACGCGAAAAGGGCGTGGTATTTACAACTCCAAGTAAGAGATTACCTTATACGGGTGTGGATAGGATGATGATGATGATGATGATGATGGATAAGAGGCTATCATGATCAGGCTCAACCAAGAGTGGAAATACATTTATTTTCAAACCATGAAATCAAATTGCTCTCTTGCCCCGTATCATTGCAGCGCATTTGCATTCGCATTTTGATTGTCCCTTTTCCATATTCTATTCCGGGATTCTGATGTACTGTACGATTTGCTTTTTTTATAATTGCTCCGCCTAACTAATTAACTACCTCGTATCGAGTCGAGTACTGTACTGTACTCGACACTCTGCCACTCTAACCCTCTTCGCTAGGAGCTACATATCAGCCACCCATCTTAGCCCGGCACGATCTGGCAAAGCTCTCCTTTCCTGTCCTTTGTCTTCCTTTACTTGATTCCGTTTGATTGGATATTGAAATTTGCTACTACGGAGTACGTACCGACTACGAGGTAGTGTTCAACTACCGCCTCGGCACGAGGGACGTATGGTTACGTGCATAGCAGCTTGTTTCTACCACCCACTCAGCTGGAGCCAGCACATTCAGAGTCCGACTGGCGGGCACCAGCAAGGAGTAACAATGCAATACTCGGTCCAGATAGGCCTTTGAGCACAAGGAGGCACAGCTCATCCGGGTCCAGATAGCCACCAGGGCATGGGAGGGCAGGCCAACGCTGCCTTGTTGGACATATTATAGCTGACGTTGTTGGTTAAAGATTACTGAGTAGTGCTCTGACACACAAGGTAGATGCCACATGAAACGCATGTCTTTGGGAACTGGATAGGTAATGGACAGAGTTGAATAAAAACGAAAGACAAGTTCAACTGTTTGTAGACTTGCATTTGCACATTTCAGGTAGTCTAGCACTCGGCAGCTCTTGCGGTCTACCGTATAAACTCCGGTGGCGTATTGAGGCCACATACACACTAGGCTGGCTTTGCTGCGCGTTCTCCGACTTTGTCGTGGTATTGATTGACCTAAAGCCAACATTACCACGCTTTCCTCTACTCCCTCTCATTTTTCTCTCCATAGTCGACATCGCTTGGTCCAGTCGCTTTACATAATGGGTTCCGATCCTCAGTTTGCCAAATATCCAGACCTTACCCTCGCCCAGCACATCTTCTCCCTAGTAAATGCGCCCCAGACTGTCCAGCCAGCATCGTTGAATTACCTTCAAAATGCTATCAAAGACCATAAGATGGCGCCGTTATATCGGCATTTGGCCCACCCTACTGAAGGTGTGCTAAATACCGTGGGAGAGAGCACAGCTCAGCCATTACAACCACCGCCCAAACCCGCCGCCAGACGGGCGTCTCTCGTGTCAAGCAACCTCTTACCCCCGAAGAAACCTGTACCCTCTGGAATCCTGCCGTGGGACGAAGCGCTCTACGAGGAACTCAAGGCTGATAACGCAAAGGAGCTGGAGCAGTTCCAGAAAGAGGAAGAAGAGGCTGAAGAGAAGGCGGGAGAAACAGAGGTACAAGCGGCTCGAAGCAAGCGCGCCGAGTTCTGGGCCCGGGTCGGCGACAAGGTAAGCCAGGAGAATACCTCGTGAAGCTACATCTCTCTGACCAGATGCTAGGACAAAGCTATCGCGGCATATGAGAAAGTCTTCGACAAGACTGGGCCGCTGGGCACCAAGATCGACATTGTCCTCGCCATCATCCGCATCGGCATCTTCTTCAACGACAAGGCTTTCACAAAGAAACAAATCGAGCGTGCAAATATCTTGGTCGAGGGTGGTGGAGACTGGGATCGAAGAAATCGATTAAAAGCTTACAAGGGCCTGCACCTCCTCACTGTCCGATCCTATAACCTCGCCGCTCCGCTACTCCTCG